GCAGACCCAGGTTTATATTCAACATTAGTATAAATATTTTCCTGTGAACTGTATTTTGCCATGTCTAAAGCACTCCTGTGTATAATGTGTGCCCACATTTTTAGCCCAAAGTTTCAGGGGGAAAAATCACTTATTTTAATTTTTTTTATTCAACTTTAAAAAATATTTTATTTAATCCATTTCAGAGAAGGGGAAGAGAGAAAGACACAGAAGGGAAAGAAACATTAATGTGTGGCTGCCTCTAGCACATACCCAAGCAGGGAACTGGCTCACATTCCAGGTGTGTGCACCAACATGGAATCGACTTGTGATCCCTCTGTTCACAACCCAGCACTCAGCCCACTAGCCACACCAGCTAAGTCCAATTATTTATTTATTTATATACAGAAACTAAACCAATTATCATATTCCAGGGTATTATTTTGTATACAGATATCATTATTGCTTTCTAGAGTTACACTATTAATGCAAAAGCATAATTAAAAAATTAGAAACATTTATATAGAAACTGAATTAATGTTACCCATGTATAATGCACATGCTTATTTTTCTCTCAAAAAATTTGGGGGAAAAAGTATGCCTTATACATGGAAAAATACAGTAGTTTAAGACATGTTCAATCACACAACTTGTTACAGGGAATCTCTGACCTGTTTCACATCATTGTCATGTTTGAGAAAATGTTTATCAAGTTTCTTTCTTTCATAAAAAGCAGTAGGATTGCAGATTATTTCCACACATCCCTGGAGCCCTTGCTGGGGCTTTGAAAATGGACTAAGCTCATGAGGGGACACTGGGGATGGAGCTTCCTGAACTTTAAAGCTGAAACTTTGCTGCTGTTCTGAGGACCAGGGTCTGAGGTTCCTTTGAATGGTGTGAGATCTCCCTGCCCATGTCCCACTTTGAGGGCATCTGTGTGCTTTCGCTGTTCTACACACCCTTTGACCATGGAAGACCATCACTTGTGCATCTCAAGTTCCCAAAGTCTCTCAGAGCAAAGCACTTTAATGCCCAACTTTTCCCTGGGTTCCACCCTCCACTGGAATTGGGTCTAATTTCCTTTCTCGCCTACCACCACTTGGGTTGTCTAAAGAAAATTTAAAATCCTCCTTTCCCAGAATGTTCAGTGATTTTGGCTGGAGGGTGGAACTCAGGAGGCCCACCCTCCAGCCAAAAGAGTCAGTAGTAACTCTCACTGGAATGACCCCTAGGAGACCTCCCTGTTAACTTCAACATCAACTGCAAGGTGAACACATTCAGATTCACATCTGGAAAAGCTGCTCAACATCTGGGGACCATGGTAGATCTACCTTCAGGGTCAGGCTGGAGGAGATGAGACAGGATGATTTCTTAGCCCTCACAGCACTCCCCATAGCCTGTGGAGCCCAAGTTCCTCATCTAGGCCTGGTCACAGCTCTGGCACCCATAGCTTCCTTTTGGGATATCATTGGCCCCACCCCATAGCTGGGCATTTCCCTCCCTGACACAAGGAACTGGACCCACTCTGCCAATGGGAAGCAAACATGATGCCCCTACTGCTGCTGCCACTGCTGTGGGGAGGTGAGAGGGCCTGGGAAGGGGGATGGGCAGGTGGGGGAGGCCTAGGGGTCAATGCTGAGTGTCTGTGTCCCCCAAGGGTCACTGCAGCAGCAGCAGCAGCCAGGCTATGGTATCCAAATGCAGGAATCTGCGAGCGTGCAGGAGGGTGGATGCACCAACGTGCCCTGCTCCTTCCCCTCTGCCTGGACTTCTTTGTATCCCTCTGTCAATATCTACATCTACTGGTACCACAGTGGGCACTACTCACAAAACCGTGAACTTGTGGCCACGAATGCCCGAAATACACCAGTGAATGGCGAAGCCCAGGGCCGATTCTTCCTCATGGATCCCAGGGCCAAGAACTGTTCCCTGAGCATCAGAGGTGCCAGGAAGAGTGATGCAGGAATCTACCTTTTACAAGTGTATTATCACCTTAATTATTACCAAGAGCAGAAGAAGCTGACTTTGCAGGTGACAGGTATGGCAGGGGCCCAGGAGAGGATGCTGAGACATGGGACCCAGCTTAGAAGAGCAACAGGACCCTGGGGCATTACTTAATCCCAGCCTTGGGCCCAGGGTGTTAGAAGAGACACAGGACCTGGGGTGACCTCAGGCCCTGTGGCATGGGTCCCAGGCCCAGTCACATTCTGGGTCCCCATTGCATCCCCATGTCCCAGGCACCGCCCTTTCTCCTCCTCAGACCTGACACAGAAACCTGACATCCACATTCAGGGGCCTCTGGAGTCTGGCCGCCCCACACAGCTCACCTGCAGCCTGCCAGGGTTCTGTGAAGGGGGAAGACCTCTCACCTTTTCATGGGTGGGGAGAGCTCTTGGCTCTCTGAATCCCAAGACCCTTCACTCCTCGGTGCTCACCTTCACCCCAAAGCCCTGGGACCACCGCACCACAGTCACCTGTCTGGTGACACTTGCAGGATCTGGGGTGACCACACAGGAAACCATTCGACTCAATGTGTCCTGTGAGTGTTGGAAGGACAGCTGGTGTCCTGGGGGCAGTGGGACTGGTGAACCTGATTGTTTGTGTCTTTGTGTATATTTTGTGTGTGTGTACAGTAGGCTGAGCTAATGTGAAGGAACTCATTTATGCAGCAGAGTGTAGAAGGGGAGTGGGCCAGAACACAGCTATGCTACCATCATGGTTCCCACTGTTAGTCCTTGGCTTGGGGTGACTTCTATCCACTCCTCTCTGAAGCCAGGCCATGTCTTTCTGTCCCAGATGCCCCACTGAACCTCATCATAAGTGTGTCCTACAGAAACCTTACAGGTAGGAAAGAACCTCCTTCTCTGGGGCTGGGACCTGCCCTGGGGATGCCATGGAGCTGAGGGGAAATCAGAATGTGAATGGGATCAGATATGGGGGAGGCAAGGAGGAAAATCACCACCCTCACCCCCTCCCCTCCTGTGGGTGGGAACTGCCTCTTGAGTTCTCCTTCAGTCTCTCTCTCTGTTTTTCTTTCTCTCTCTCTGCATTTCTTTTCACCAGTCCGCAAAATTCTGCAACCCACAACCTTTCCCATTCTGGAGGGGGAGGCTCTGAGGCTGCTCTGTGTGGCTGACAGCAACCCCCCTGCACAGCTGAGCTGGTTCCAGGAGTCCCTAGCCCAGAACGCCACCCCCATCTCCAGCACCGCTATCCTGGAGCTGCCTAGAGTCGGGACTGGAGAGGAAGGACAGTTTATCTGCCAAGCTCAGCACCCGCTGGGCTCCAGAAGTATCTCTCTCAACCTCTCTGTGGTCTGTGAGTGTGGGTCAACCTGGGGGCAGGCCGCCCGGGGTCCTGGGAAGAGCAGAGAAACCACTGACCCTTTCCCTCACTCCCCACAGACCCCCCACAGCTGCTGGGACCCTCCTGCTCCTGGGAGGACCAGAGTCTGAACTGCAGCTGCTCTTCTCGAGCTCAGCCCGCGCCATCGTTGCGCTGGCGGCTGGGGGAGGGGCTGCTGGAGGGGAACCTCAGCAACACCTCCTACACAGTCACCTCCAGCTTCGCTGGGCCCTGGGCCAACAGCTCCCTGAGCCTCTTCGCGGGGCTCAGCGCAGGCCGCAAACTCAGTTGTGAGGCAGAGAATGTCCACGGGGCCCAGAGCGCCAGTGTCCTGCTGCTGCTGCCAGGTCAGAGGTCTGCTGGGGGTGGATGCTGAGGGAGAAAGGGAGGGATCAAAGAAAGGATGGAGCTGGGAAATAGGCTGTGGCTGGCCAGAGCATTATATGCTAGGACAGGACCTTCCATCTCCTGTTCAAACAGAGCCCACAGCTGGTTCTGCAAAGACGTGGGAAGAAAACAAGACACTGAGTACTGTGAGAAGGTGGGCTCACTCCCCTGTTCTCTGCAGATCAGGCAGTACGTGAGTGCAGAGTGCTTCCCGCGGCTCTCGCTGGTGCTGGTGCCATGGTGCTCCTGTCTCTATGCTTGTGTCTCATCCTGTTTTGCATGTAAGCCTGTGTCCTGGAGAGGTACAGGGAGCTGTGTCATGGGGAGTCCCCAGAGAGGGCCCAGGGTCTCAGAAAGGTGCAGTTAAGTACCAAACAGAAGGGTCTTTTGTGGGTTGTATGGGGGAGCAACTTTATTTAGATAAAATTCTTAATGAATCTATTTAATTATTAATTATTTTTAGACAGAGGGGAAGGGAGTGAGAGAGGGAGAAAGACATTAATGTGTTGTTGCCTCTTGTGCGCCCCCTACTGGGACCTCACCAGGAATTCACGCAAGTGCTCTGATTGGGAATCCCATGGTTCACAGGCCAGCACTCAATCCACTTTTGCCATAAAAGGCAAATTCTTTTATGTTTAAAGTGTACAACTGAATGGCTTTTAGTTCAGTCACAGAGTTGTGCAGCCATCACCATAGTCAATTTTAAATCTTTTTTATTAGCACAAAATGAAAAAAAAATTCCTCTATTTGTAATTTTGCCACCATCCTCACCCAAGCCCCAGGCAGACACTAATCTATTTCCTGTGTCTCTAGATCTGCCCATTCTGGACATTTCATATAAATGGAATCCTACAACACATGATCTTTTCTGACTCTTTTTTCACATAGCATGATATTTTCAAGATTCATATGTCATTTTTTTCTATTCCTCCTAGTTTCAAATAATAGCCCATGGTATGAACTGTGCACTTTTTATTTTCTATTCATTCATTGATAGATACTTGGGTTGTTTCTACTTCTGGGGTTCTCAGGAATAACACTGGTATGATGGCTTGTATAGAAATTTCTCCCTGTGTAGGGGCCTATTGTGATGCAAGTTTAGTCTTGGCCAAACACCTTGTCATCCAGGGGACTGAGCACTCACTTGCATGTCAGAAGGGTCTTAAAGTCTGCATCTGGAGTCTCAATGCCTCAGTTGTCTTACAGGGAGTGGGAGCAGCCTGCCACCCTGTGCCTGAGCCATTCTGACTGCTGACTTCTTCCCTTAGAGTGAAAGCCCACAGGAAGCAAACAGCCAGAGGACAAAAGGTCACAAATGATGAAGACCCTGTCAGGGGTATGGTCACCTGGGTGAGTGATGTGAGTATCTTCTCATGCAGTGCAGGGGGAGGGGCTAGGCATGTCCCTTCAATGAGTGTGGACTGAGCTGCTCAGCATTTCCCCAAACCCGCTCCTCTGTGGTCAGCTAGACAGACAGCTGGGCGTTGACTTCCCCTTCATTACCCAGAGTGCAGGGTCAGCTTCTTGTCCTAGCTCAGCTGTCCACTGAGCCCACCTCACCTCTCTGCCTGGTACAGCCTGGCAGAACTGTCTCTCCAAACCTATCACTTTCTACCCATCTGGGCATGTTACTTAATCTCTCTGTATCTCAGTTTCCCCATCTATAAATGGAAAGAGTAAAACAATCATTTACAGTTGGTTTCTGTGAGAATGCAATATGATTAGTAAGTCCTTGATATGGTCTAATCAACTGAAGTATTACAAAATTTTAAATGAATGACAAATAGTTGAGTTCATGTGGACTGTGCAAGTAAAAAACTTTCCATTAGCTCAACTTCCCCTTGAGACCATGTCTGACTGATTCTTCTCTGGCTCTTTTCTCTCCCCTTCACTCATGGCTCCCAGCAAAATCCACAGCCAGACAGGCCCCCACACCAACTGTCACCCATGGAAGACGCTTCTCCATCAGGAGAGGAGCAGGACACCGAGTATGTCAACCTCACCTTTCATGGGAGGAAGCTGTGTGAGGCTCAGGACAAGGAGACCACCAGCACCTGCATGTACTCAGAGATCAAGAAGACCAGCCAATGAGGATTTGCTCAGAGCTTAGTCCTGGCCAGAAGCATCACAGCCTCTCTGAGGGAAAGAAGTCAGGGACTAATTGATGAAACCTGAGGAGACCTTGTGCAACATTAACATGAATCACTGTAAGAGCATCCACAGGTAGAGCAGAAAGAAGAAAGGTGACGGGATTGGAGAGACTTAGGCTCAAGTGCAGGCTTCAGTATTTCCTAAGGCATTGTCTTCAAGCAATTCACTTCCTTCCCCCCTCACAAATTTCCCTTCTGTACAGCAGAGACCATAACATGCTACTCAAAGGCAGCTGTGAGCATTAAAGAAATCACAACCAACAGAAGTCCAGGGCTTGCCTGTCTCTTTTTTTTTTTGAACAGAAAGGTCCTGGTGGCAAGTTCTCTTGAAGCCAGAGGTGACCAGCAATAGAAAACAGAGTGGCAGCTTGTTGCTGTCATTTTTTATGCAGAACTCTTCAAAGCCTCCTCAGGGAAGGACACTGGACTCAGCTGGTGTTCCATTGTAATGTGGTATCTTGTAGTTTCTGTGGGGTCATCTTGCCTCACTGGTTCCTGTCCATTCCCCAGCACCTCCTGAGCACCAGTCCCTTCCCCATTCCAGTTATGGCCCCAAAGGGATCTTCCCAACAACCTGTGAACTGTAAACAGGTGCGGACTAGGTATTTCATCACCCAAATGGATTTTTCAGGGACAAAGAAAGGGCTGCAATGCAGCTGGTACAGCCACAGCTAGCCGAATGCACACCCTGGGCAGGGACGGGCAGCAGGCATGAAGCCCTTGTCACAGAGCAGAAGCAGAATTTGGGGGAGGGGTTGTTACCACCATAGAGCTCTGCTGTGACCGTGGAGTGTTTCCAGTAAGGCTGCCAGGTCCACATACGATGTGACAGCATCACTGAAAGGCCCTCCAATTTCTGGCAGGGTTTGTCTTCTGCAGTAAAACTGGACACACCAGAGAAGTGACCCCACCTTTCTCCTCCAAAATCCCCTCCTGAATCCCTGGCCTTAGATGGAACATCCCAGGCCTCTTCCCTTGGCACTTACCTCCTCACCCACCCTCTCTCCCTTTGGCTTTGTTCCTTCAAACTTCTGTGGTGGTTCTTACAAAAGGCTTAGCAATTTGAGATCCCCCTCCTGGAGGCCACATCCCCTGGCTTTCATCAGACACACCCCACCTGTCCTTCAAAGCTGAGTTCTTGGCAGCCTTGCTTGGGAGGGTGGGCTGAAGAAACAGCTCACCATGTCCAAGACAGAAACACAGAAATGCTATCTTGCTGGGGTCTCAGCTTCTTTGGTGGGGAACACTTCCCATTTCTTTCCAGGAGTCCTTCTCTGGTCTAATGGTGAGTGGATGTGTCACCCTGAAACAGGAGGGACATTTGTTATGATATTGCTGCTGGACATGTCTGTGTCCTTGGATGAGCCAGGATGAAAGAAGGCTCTTTGTTCAGGGACCCTGATGCTATACATGGACATGTGAATTGTTGGTTACAGCTGGTAGCAGACTGATTCCTTCAGGAACAAGTGTAATCAGCTATGATTTCATCTTTTTTGTGGCTCCAAAAGCCACTTCTTCGTATTGATTGTAGACTGAGAAGATATTAGAAAGTTTGTCTTCTTTCTTTCCTTGTATTCTTTTCTTTTGACTTAGAGGAGTGGAAAATATCTGTATGATTCTACATATTATTCTAATAATTTGTTTCTTTTTAAAGTTTGTTGATTTGCAGATTGGAGAAATAAAATTACATTTCTCTAAAAAAAGAGCTCACATTCTCCCTCCTCTATATAGTTGATCTGATTTAATTTTTTACAGAAAGCTCTAAAACAAAATCAGCCTAAATTCAATAGCAGTGCCTTAGTGTTTAGTGCCTATCAATAAGCTTTTGGGTTGTAAGTACATTAGTCCCCCTTATCTGTGGGAAAGATGTTTCATGCCTCACACTGCAGATAGTACATCTTATTTACACCTGATTTTTTCTGTCTACACCTATGATAAAGTTTAATTCATAAATTAGGCACAATTAAGATGAACAGAACTACTAATAATAGAAGAATTATAACAACATACTGTGAGGAAGGATATATGATTGCGGTCTCTCCTTCTCTCACAATATCTTCTTGTACTTTACTCACCCCACATCCTGTGCTGTTTTAAGATGCCACAATGCCTATGTGATGAGGTGTAGGGAGGTGAATGACACAGGCATTGTGATAGAACATGAGGCTACTGTAAGGGTGACTTGACACAGGCACTTGGTAGTGGGACAATAGATCTGATAACCTAATTGGCTACTAAGGGACACACAAGGGAGTAGTGTATACAGTATGGAGATGTCAGACAAAGGGATGGTTCATGACAGGGCAGGACAGACAGAGGCAGGAGAGGATTCATTATATCACTCAGAAAATCACAAAATTTAAAACATGAATGGTTTATTTTTGGGGTCTTACATTTAGTAATTTTGGACCATGTTTGAACATGGATAACAGAAACCATGGAAAGCACAACTGTGGATAATAGGAGATGACTGTAATATACCTGTTTTTTCAAAGTTCCCTTATGGTTGCTGCTGAAGTGTGTCTTACAACAAGAACCACAAGGGCTGGTTGAGCCACAACATTGGCTGCAGTGGAGGAAATGTCTGTGGGGGCCCAGGTGACTGCCCCAGTAACACAAAACAAGCACCTGAATGCAGGTGACTTGCTTTGGAAAGTGGCCCCAAGAAAAAAGGAGACAATCCCAGTGTGGAACTAGGAGGGCTTGGGTTCACCACTTCCACTACATGAACCCCAATTTCCATGTGGTCAGAAGTTGAACTGTGACTCTTGGTTTGGTAATAACTGGTTAAATCATTCTGCTCAGGACTTGTGCTGAAAATAACAAAATTCTTTGGGAAAAAACTAAATAGAAGACATAAATTTCCTCAGTGTAAAAGTATGGAATAATTAGAAGGAAATGAAAATTGGAACTTATTGGGCTAGTATTTGAGGGAATGCTTTAATCCAGAAAATAAGACAGAATATCTAAGCCAATATACCAAAGTTTTCAATGGCATTTACCCACACTGATCATGTAGCTTTGGTTCTGTGGTCTTCAAGGCCTGGAAATGATAGTCAGGATTCAGGCCCTACCCAAGGTGGGGAGTTTCAAAGGAGACCATTCCCACATTGAGTAGGTATCAGGAGAAGGGTGAGTGAAAGAAAATCAAAGATGAGGAGAATGTCTGAACAGCATCCACAGGAAAAGAAACAACAGATTACATTCAAAAGAGGAGCATTTTTAAATGGAAATATCAGTAGCAACCATGGAAATTAGAAGAAAGCAAATGCTCTCTTTAACTATCACTTTATAGTCTATGCTCAGTAGAGATGATTCAAAAATGAGGGAGTAATGCAGACCCTTTGGATCAAGTATATGGAGAAAATCATTGTCAGTAGAATAAAGACATAGTTTTGAAATTCCTGACAATAATAACAGCTGAGTCCAATGTGGTTTGGTGGGTAAATAGACTTTACATTTTCTCATATTTACATATTATCTAGGAGGTGAGGGAGCTTTTCCTTTAATAAAACTTTGGTAAGTTAATTATTTATGCAGTAAGCCTTATGGTAATGACTATACAAACACAGTAATAATGTATAAGGAAATAGAATACTTCAAAACTTAGTAAACCAAGGGAGAGAAGACTAAAAAGATAAAGTAATGTGGCATTGTTGGCACATATGTAAAATAATTTCAATGTAGGAAACTTATGTTGAATACAATTGTATAAAAAGCTTCAGTTAAAACCAGAGTAAGCTTGGATTTTTAGTATGCACTTTATAATATCTGCTTCTAAATTACAAGAATAGAAATGTCAAAATTCAAAGAAGACAAGATTATGTACTGTATTAACATAATAAAAAGAAAGCTGGAGGAGTCTTAATTAAGTCATACAAAAACCACATCACTACATCACTACATTTATATGAAGTTCTATAGCAACTATCTTGTTGAAGAACAGGTATGCAGGTATTATGATTACAGGGAAAGGCAGAAAAATAGAGGACCCCAAGTGTCAATATGGTGGCAACCAATGAGGGGCCTGGAGAGGAAAGGAAACAAAGAGAAATTCTGAGTCTCCTGGGGAGTCTTCCTGTTTTTTTCTTGACTTGAAATATGATCACCTAGAGTAACTACAAACTAGTTATTAAGATATCATATTACGTATTTGTAATATTTATACACATAATATTATTCTATTAAAAACAATATAATAAAGTACTATAGGTTGTTATTAATTATAATAATCACTTATGTATAATTATATTTATAAGACATATTTATATAATGTAAACTATAATTAATATATAACATTTACAAAACCTAAATTCTGAATATATTTTTCACAAGCAATACATGTTAAATATTTCAAGGCAGGACATGTCTTAGGTTCCAATAGTCGCCTTTTGTGGAAAAATTGGAAGGAAGAATAACATGAAACAGCTTGATGACAAATCAGAGAGATGAGAGGAAGAGCACAGACATGAACCCAGCCCACTGCCACTCCTTCTCCTGACTCCTCCTTCTCTAGAAGGACCCCACCTTTCTGAAGCCCCTCCAGCCCAGGGGCCCTGCTTTCCTAAGGCTCAGGCCCTTGTGACTGTGAACTGGGGTCTGTGGCAGAGGGAAACCCAGGAGTGCTCCAGGACCAGGGACAGCGCCAACCCTTCTACTGGGAGCTCTCAGGTCTTGCATAGAGGACGGGGCGCCCCCTGGAGGCACAGGCTTGACCTGGCTCATGAGGAGGTAAAGCTGGGGAATGAAGCTGATGGCATTCTGTCCAACAGGACAAAGGTGCACCCAAACTCCTCCTCAGCCCCCCCTGGACACCCTCACAGCCTAGGGAAGAGGAGCCCTAGCTGCAGAGAAACAGTGCATTTCTCAGAGGCCACTGGGTTCTATGCCCCTCATGGCTGACTCCAGAACACCTACATCAGACACTTGCCCTTCCTTCTTTTCCTCATAACAGTGGGTTGATATGTTCTTTTTCCTTTAACCCCTTCCTTGTACTGTCATGGAGCTCTTCACAATAGGAAACATGATCTGTGGGTCTTTTCTGTGCCTGGCAGTATCCAGTCACAATTCAGGTCCAATGAAGAAATGAAGAATCAGAAGTCTGTTTGAGATATTGTATTTGGAGCTGCTAGGCCACTGAAATAATTTCTAAGGTTCAATTCATCCTACAAGAAGGAAATATATTCAGACTGGGAAAGACTTCTGTGACCTCAGTGGAGCAGAGCAGGGAGAATGTTATCATGAAGGGCAAAGCAAGCCAGGCAAGGTCAGGAGAAAATGGAGGTTGGGTAAGGAGAGCCAGATTCAATATTTTCATAAAGATGGAAGCTCTTTCCTGTCTGAAGGATATGTAAAGAAGTTACAGGGTGAGAGTGCAGGTTCCTGGGAACCCTGAGATTGAGCTCACAGCTGCTGATGAGTCCAGTGGCTGTTTAACCACAAACACTGAGAAGAAACCCACCAGCAGCACCCTGACCACTGGGGCTGGAGACAGGGCTGTCCTTCTAAGTTCTGAGCATGAGGGGCCCGTTGATCTGAGTGTGAGTTCAGCCACCCCTTCTTGTGCTTCTTGTGTGACGAGATTTGGTCTGAGGACCAGACAGGGAGAGGATGGGTTTCAGGTAGGGCCTGTCCCCCAGACTCTCCTGCTCCTACAGATGTTCTGAGAAATATGAGAGAGCAGAGACAGACCACTCTTGGTGCATTCTCTGAGGGCGATGGGGATGACCATTTGGGACAGGTGACATGAGTGGCAAGTGGGATACAAAGGGGCCATCATGATAGGCTGTCACCAGAACTAGATGAGAAGATCTCTGCCTTCCCTCCCCTTCTTGTCACTGAAGAAGGAAAGCTTCTTGCACAGGGCAGGTTTGGGATACCAGTCTCCAGAAAGAGTGATAGATAGAAATCTACTCCTTCCCAGAAAGCAGGGACTGACTCTGTGACCTCAGGGGTGCTGGACATGACCCTCCAAGGCCACATGGTGCTGCTGCCCCTGCAGTTGGGATAAGAGGACTGTGGGACACTGTGCTTCTTCTTTATTGGGGAACAACTTAGAGAAGCATCAGAGAAGCTGCAGGTGTGAGGATTGGGGACACTGAGGACAAAGTGCCTGTGTATCCTCATGCTCTCATCTTCTCTCATCCTGAAATCTATGGGTTTACTGTAGAATAAAAAAAATCTGCACCTTCTGGTTTAAGGAAGAGGCCAACATATACCATGATCCTCCTGTGCTGTAACAGACTAGCTCAAGAGCTGAAGGAGGTGACCAGCAACCTTGGGCCAATCCAACCTCCTTGGGAACCTCCACCTGTTATGGTTCCCTGAGAAACACAGGTGTCAGGATGGGGAGGGCAGGACATGGCTCCTTCAGGAGAAGACTGCTTAGTAGATCTTGTCACCAAGAGGAAACACCCTCTGTGGTTGGGTCAGGAAGGTCAGAGCTTCAGACAGAAGGCAAAGTTAACATGAAGGACCCTCCTGATGTCATATGTTTCTGAGTGGTGTCTCTGTTCCCTCCCTCCTGCTGACTCAGATACCTGACATCCACATCCTGGGGACCCTGGGGTCTGGGCACAAGGGTCTGGTGAGGGAGTATGACATTCAGCTTTTAGTGGCAATATTTGACCCTGAGTCCAACACACATGTCCTGATGCAGAAAGT